TATAAACACAGCGTGATGGCCCTCCGAAAATCCTCTTTTTCTTGTTCGTTTTGGAGACCTTGATCGAAACTGACCTTAGATGTCAGAACGGATTTACAGTATGTTCTCTGTGTTTCTGTGCGCGCATTTCCGACATTGCTTTATCTGTCGAAATTTTAACTAATATATTTAGGCTCAGATTTCAACTCTAAATCGTACACTAATTACTAGCAGTACATTCTGATGTTTTGCTCCCTCTGACCACAAAAACATATATGTATTGTAGCCGGCATGAACTTCATTTCGTACGGGTGGCTACTGCGATTCGGACACGGTTAAAGACGGAGCCCCTGTTTTAGATCTTTTTGAAGCTGATGCAACACTTCAAGGACAGGCGAAGCAGTGATTTTCTATTCCCCCTACAGTAGCTCTCTGAGCAGTCCTTAAGAGAGTGTCTCACCCTCCCTTCTTCAAGCAGCAGAGAAACGTGATTAAGACACAAAGCCCTCATACCGATAAATAACTCCCCGCGGGGTGTGTCGACTGACGGGGTGAGCTGAGCTACTCTACCTTGCGTCAAATAATAATAATAATAATAATAATAATAATAATAATAATAATAAAGGACAAGAGGGAAGCGGCTCAGCTCGGCACTACTTCCGGGTTCAACTCCCAAAAGTTGCTGATTCACTTCCGGGTTACAGCACCGCCGGTCCGGGTACCCAGAAATGACCCAGACCGTTTTCAATCCACGGACGAAGAATACAACAGAGTCGGGGGGGAAAGGGTAAAGAGTTCAACCCCACGATCTCGGCCTTGGTCTCATTTAAATAAAGCAAATGTTCATTGTTCATATATAATTATTCACTAGCTCGTAATAAAGTTTCATACAATGAAGGCACTCACCGTTTCATGGGCGCGCTGAGCCGGCGACACTCGGAAAAGAGTTTCGAAAGCTTAACCTATCGTAGGCTGGGCGAACGATTTTTACATTTTTTAAAAAATAAATAAATAATGAGATATAATGATGTGTTCCAGCTTAACTTAGACATTGCACGACTTTAAAACATATAAAAACAGGTTTCGAGAGTTAAAAACCACTTTTTATGCGCGAAAAATGGGTGATTTTTCTTCCTCGTGATCAGCTCA